TAGGGCTTCTCTTCTCAGAGAAGAGAAATCTCTTGGAAAAAAAATGGCGTGTGCCGCCGCTGAGTGCGGCTAGTAATAGGATTAACATGTGTCAACTCTTAAATGTATGACAGAAAAGAAAGGAAGAAGAACGAAGAGAGGTTGATGAAGAAGAAAGTAATCTATGTGTATTGATCGCTATCCTCACTATTAATACAAGGATAATTACCTTTCTTACGCTATGGCCAATATAATAAATCCTATCCAAACTAATGATGACATGACAATCTTATCATAATCCAATCCTATCATTACTAGACAAGTTTATCACATATGACATGGCAATATAGGTCAACATTCCCTGTCAATCTCAACTAGGGTAACCGAGTTTGAGATCACAACAATGTCGAACAAGGGTAGGACTGTGGAGTCCTTTAGTTAACACATCAACAGTCTGTTCATCAATAGGCAAGTATTTAACATGAAGATCCCCTAATTTATGAACCCTCTCTCAGGCAAAGTAATAATTTGTATCAAGGTGTTTAATCCTCGAATGATAAACTAGATTGACACTTAATGCAATGGCTGACATGTTATCACAATAAATGGTGGGATGAGTAAACAACACAACACCCAAATCCTTCAAAAGCAACCAATTCCAAGCAACATCAGCAGCATTATATGCTAAAGCTTTATAATCTACCTCAGTCGAGCTTCTAGAAATTGAAACCTGTTTCTTGGTTGTCATATGACATGTGACTGACTTCCTAGTATTCAAATCAGCAACCCAATTAGAGTCAAAGAAAGCAATCAGATGAACTGGTGTATCTTGGATATGAGGAATAAGTCACTCCACAAATTGCAGTGCCTTGAAGATATCTCAAAATCCTCTTAACACAAGCAAAATGCACATCAATTGGATTTTTCATAAATTGACACACAGAGTTAACAACAAATGCTATACTGGTCTTATGAATGTCAAATATTGAAGAGATCCAACCAAACTCCTGTACAGAGTAGGACCTGTCAATGGTGTGCCTTCATTAACCAAAGTTGATTATGAGGCTTGCATGGAGTAGATGCAGGTTTACAAGACTCTATTCCAACTTTATGTATTAAATCCTTCGCATATTTTGACAAATTAACAAAAATATCCCCATTGTCTTATGCTGAATTTGCAAACCCAGAAAGTAAGTAAGTTTGTCCATGTCTTTTAAATCAAACACTGCAGCTAAATCATGAGGAAAAAAAGGAATAGATTTCAAATATGCATAATTCCATAAATTATTCTTCAAGTAGAGACATAATTCAACCTCTACCGTGATTTAATTATTTTTTTGGACTACTGTAATAATTAAATAATTAACGAATACTTGACTTTCACGAATCAAGAAAGCGTAGGATCATTATATAGGTCATCAGAAACCCATTTGTACAAATATTCAATTACTAAACCAGGTTGGCCAAGTTTAAGTATAATTAAGTAATTAAGCATATGTTCATGCCTTAACCATTTTCTGAATTTCTTTTAAGTAGCTTGAAGGGTTCGCCATTCATTTTCTTCAATTGTTTTGAGCATATTTAATGAAGTTATAAACCAAAGAGCCATTGTAATCTATATCTATCTATCTTTCTATATGTATAAATAAAGGGAGCACACCAAAATGGTGAAGCTTTCGATATCCTAAAATACTAATTTCTTCAATTGTTTCGATATTCTAAAAATTACTAATAAATAAAAAATAAATGTAAAAAAGGTAAATTGCCACAAGCAAAAGCTTGTGACAAGAAGTTAGTATCCTATTAATCAATAATTAATATGTAACAGATTATTTAGACAGCAAAACAAAAGTTTTGGTTCTTCTAAACTTGGAAGACTTACACAAAAGAATGATATGAGAATATAATTGCAGAAAACCAATTGGATAACCGTTCACGAAGCCATGAACATGACTTCTGCATATTTATTAATTTATTAGGGTTTCTTTAGGGCTTCTCTACTCTCTTCTTAGAGAAGAGAAATCTCATGAAAAAATGGCGTATGCCTCCGCCGAGTGCGGCTAGTTACAGGATTAACATGTGTAAACAATTATTAATTCAAAATAAATACGTTTTTATGTTATTTTCTGAAAAATTATTAGATCCGGGAATGAAAAGACAGGCACATGCAGCAGCTGAATTTGTACAAGAATTATTGTAGCTGATGGTAACACATATTTATATATTAATTAATACGGTGTCGTGAAGTCGTGATGTCGAACTTTGCGTGTCTCTTACCTGCAGAGATGATCAAAAACAGTATTGCCGTCAATAATTTGAGTGAAACTCATCAGGTATATATAAACAGGATTATTCATCATTGCATGTTACTGTTAGCATAGACATGCATTTAGATGTAGGTAATTCAGTGGAATTAATTTATAAAAAAAGATAAAGATGTAGGAGCATGCACTAGCTAGAGTTTACTAGCAGTGGTAGATCAAAAGAAAGAATACATTTTTGCTTTAGGGCTTTATAATTAGATTAATAGCTCTATTTATATTCTGCGGTAGCATGTAGGTATAGGTTATATATACCAAAGAAAAAAGAATGATTGACATGAAACGGGATGATAAAATAACAATTCCAAATGAATCATGAAATGTTATGTGAGAAATTTAAAATACATGACATGTATTATTAGTCTGGGATGTCACGGTAACGTATTAGATGTGTAAGTAAGTCTTTTTTGAAAGATTGATTGAGAATACATACTTGGCTTTGCATTGTTGCTAAGCAATATAACGAATTATAACAAAGGAGTAAATAAGAGGCTATAAATATAAAGTCAAGAAAAGTTGAAGCGAAAGAAAGAGCCCCGAAAATAAGGCAAGGTGCTGGGAAAGGTTGATACATGGAAGAGACAAAGGGTGGGCTTTAAAACCACGCTTGCTTTGCTATCAAGAGCCACTTGCAAACCCTCCTCCCTCCCTCCCTCCCTCCCTCCCTCCCTCCTCTCTCTCTCTCTCTCTCTCTCTCTCTCTCTCTCTCTCTCTCTCTCTCAAACAACCACATCAAATTGATGACAACCTGTTATATTTCTTACTCCAAATTCCAATCGATAGGTCCACCTTTACAAGAGATTTTTTATTGTGTTAAGAATACGGTCCAGTACAATAAGTGTTGTATTCACTTGATGTACTGAATCATGTTTCCAACATACTGAAAATTTTCTCTACCTTTACGACTAAACAAAACAAAAACTCAAAGTTTCTATGTAGCTTTTTAGTTCTTTCCCTTATATATTCGAGGTGGTCGTTTTTTCTCTACAATTTCTTATGGTTATATATATGCGCATTATACAAGGAATAGATTCTAACGCATTCCTTTTCTTTTCGTGTTAATCTTTAAATCGAATGAAACAAAAGAAAATTTAAAAATAAAAATAAACATTGATCGTGCCATTTCCCAACTAACTAAAAGGACAGAGTTTACGAATTGTCAGGTTATGGAAGATGATGTCTGAAATAACGTCCTAACTAACTTGGAACGATCGATCAAATAAATATGGGATGATTTATGAGAAGGGACAATACTAAACTCACGTCTCTAAAGTTTTCATTTGAAAAGTTTAGGAATTGAATTGACACGCATCAACTTGATAACAAGTTAGTTAAACCAGAATTATTGTAATCAGGGGAATACGTCAAGCAGGAGGAGCATCTAATTAAGAGTATGCTACATTAGCAACATGAGCACATTATTTTTGTTTTCTTTAGACTATGCATCTATTCATCTCATGAGTTATTATTGGAGAAGTTCTAATGAGACAGTCAATTGAAGACTTGTGGTCATCCAAGGAAAGCTGTAAATGTGGATGACAAACTATAATCATGATATTGGATTCATCCATGGAAAACACCAAACCATGAGTGGTGAAAACACTGACAAAGGAGTGGATAATTCACTTACAACAAATCATTAGCAAAAAGTCATTTTGTTTGTATTTCACACCATTTTCTTTTAATATGTGGGGAGAGCTCATTTATAAACTACACCACCAATTCACATCATCTCCATGGAGAGTAAGAACCTATGTCAAGGCTAGAGAGAAGAGAGAAAAATAGTGAGAGTTATATTTGTACTCCTATTATTTTAAATAATGAAAGAAATTATAGTCATTGTCCTGAGAACGTATACACACTTACCAAACCTCATAAATATTATGTCATATTTACTTTACATATCACTACACATATATGGTCTATATTTCACAACATACACCTATTTCTTCAATTATTCTCAATTTTTCCATTTTCACCTCATTAATTAGAAAATGATCGAAATGGTCCTACCTATTAGACGTATGAGGTCCAACCTATGGAAAGATGATGGACCAAGTACATAGACAGGTAGTCCCCCGGGGGTTATTGTCTGTCTCTCTCCCTCCAAGGTGCGAGACAGATCGATCATACATGGTCAATTAATTTTCACCTATTAATTCAGTCTTTACTTTCATAGATGATAAAGTACACAGTACCATGCAAAAACTTTACTATTCAAATGACGCGACCATGTGCTTCCAGTCCAGACTTAATTTGAGGAATGAGGATCTTTTCTGGATTCTTTTTGTGAGAATTCCAAGGATTATTCAATCATATTCGTTCATCATACATCGTGTGGTTAGAAATCATTGTAAATTTTGTTATTTAAAATTGAATATAAACAGTACCTGACAAAAACTGACCACATAATGTACGATGAACGAACGTAATTGGAAGATCTGGAGATCCTCATCTGGAGAGGATCCTCATTCTAATTTGAGAGCTTCTCAACTTCTAACGTTTGACAAATTAGTTAGAGTAGCTAGTATCTTTGTTCGTCTGCATTTAAGTTTAAGGTTTTTCTTTCGTCCTTAGATGAATTTAATGTAGAATATTATTTTTTTAATAATAAAAAAAATTATGAGTGCAACCTCTGCATTTTTTTTTTGGTTCAAAGTAACCTCTACATTTTGATGTCTATATATTTACCATCTCCTTGCCTCTTCTCTCTCTCACATTTGTGAAGGCCAGCTAAGATTGAAAACCCTTGCTAGGTAGAAACAAAATTTCGTACAATATCCATGGGCACAGAACATGACATTGGTGATTACTTAACCCTAGTTTCAATCACCAAAACCGTGTCTGTACTCCCAAAAGTTTTGCACCCACCAAAACTTCTCACCCTCTCAAACTTGGACAGGCAGAGTCCAATCCATATGTACTTGGTTTTCTTTTACAATTCTACCTCTGTTGCTCATCACAAAATCAACAATTTGTCGCTTGATGGTGCTGATGATTCGGTTTTCAGAAGCTTGAAGTGTGGATTGGAAGAGACGCTATCGGTGTGGTACCCAGCTGCGGGGAGGTTGAGCTGTGATCACGGAAACAAGCTCAACTTATGGTGCAACAACAAAGGTGCTGTTCTAGTCGAGGCGGAGACGCTGGTTGAGATGTCGGAGCTTGGAGACCTATCACAGTGCAATGAATTTTTTGAGAAATTGGTTCACAAGCCTGTGTTTGATGAAGACTTCTCAGAGATGCCCTTGGTTGTTGCTCAGGTAATTTATATACTGATCATCGAATTTATATTATTTCGATATATTTCCTAATTAAAAGATACAAATCATGTATATATAATATGTTTAAATTAAAACACCAATTCCATCTACCTTTTTATCTATTATACTTCTATATATTCGATTGTTTTTGGATTAATTTATATAATCTTCATTAGGGTTTGTTGGAGTTACATATATATATACATATATATATATATATATATATATATAATTTCCATATGTAAGTTAACTTCCGTATCTGAAATTCGTATGCGCTTGATTTAAAACTGAACCTAGTTTTGTTGGGAGTTTTTATTTGCACTTCAAAAATGTCAGCTTGCACGCCTCATGTGTAAAAATATAGAGATGACATTTTTAGAGTGACAACTACTCTTGTCCATGAAATTTGAACTGAAGACCGCCTCTCGCGAATTGAACTAAGTGGGCTTGAAATTTCTGTAATGGTTTGGTACTGTAGGTGACCAAGTTTGGCTGTGGAGGCTACTCAATAGGTATTGGTATTAGCCACTCATTGTTCGACGGACCGGCGGCGTATGAATTTATGAGTGCATGGGCTTCTAATTCTACCATAACTATGAAACAACACAAAGTTTTGGAGATTCCTAAGTTACCAGTGCACGACAGAGGAACACTATTGATGGACAAGTTTGATGAAACTCCAAAAGGGATTAGTACAGAGTTACTGCCAAACCGAAACGACGATGGTTCTGCCGTGGTGACAAGGGCTGCAGCCGTGGATCATTTATACCAATTGATCATGCAAGCAGCAGCATCTAATGACCGCATGATCAATTTCCTCAAAAATGGGTCTAATATTTGGAATCAAATTATTGATAGTAATTATGCCCATAAGACCTTTCATCTGAGTGGTGCACTGATTGAGAGTTTGAAGAAAGAAGTTTGTGGTGATGAAATGAGCAGCTTTTCATGTTCATCCTTTGAAGTTGCGGCTGCTCACCTCTGGAAGGTAAATTTCTCAATTAATTGGCGCTCTTGGAGAAAGATAGCAAAATCAAACAAAAGGAAAAACACTAGCTTCCTTAAACTTTCATAAATTAGGCTATTTTTTCTTTTTTGAGTAATTTTAAGGGTAATATTAGGGGGACATCTATTTAAAGCATATTTTGTATATCATATGATGTGGTTATTGATAATTAGATAATTATTATTACTTAAGTGTTGATTAACTTACTGAATTCGTATTAGTTGCACATCTCAGGATTTTAAAATGTGGTTTAAAATGTTAGTCTATCTAGCATTACTAATAGTAATTAGATTTCTCCACAATTCTCAAATCGGAGATGAATTTTCATAAAATTTTGGTATTGGTTAAATTTTTCTTAACGATAAAATGGCTATAAAAACAATTTTTTAGAATATTAAACTGTGATAAACATCTTGAACTTGGATGTCTACGCATATAACATACATTTAGACACATGTATAGCTTACTTTAAAACAAACCAGAAACAAAATTGTTCAAGTTTCTATGAAGATTGGAAGCTATTGAATTGACTAGGGTCCACTTGTATAGACCAACTTGGAACCTTTTCTTTTCAAAGTTTAGAATAAAAAAATGTGAGTGAGACCCAAAGAAATTTTTTACTATGCCGGAATATGGTTACACTAAGTGTTATAATATAATTGGTTATATATTTTTTTTTCAAATTTTTCACCTATTATATTATTATACTTGGTGCACTGGTCGTGTACACGACACACTGAAAAACCTCTCATGAGATCGGTTGCAGTAATGTATTGTGTCTGTCTACTCACATTCAAGTTTGAATAACTCGTGTAAAATTGATGTGTGTAAGACCAGTTGACAGTAATATATTGTGCTTGTCTTCCCACATGATCAAGTTCGAATGACTAGTGTTATGGTTGATTGATGTCATGAGCACTGCAGACAAAGACCAAAGCTTTTGGAGTGAGGAAGGAAGCAATGGTGTGCCTGCAATTTTCCGTCGACGTAAGGAACAAGGTGGACCCCGCACTTCCCCAAGGCTTCAGTGGCAATGCATTCGTGCTGGCCTCCGTTGCCCTAACGGCGGCACAGGTGGAGGAAGCCACCCACAAAGCCATTATCGAGAAGATAAGAGAAGCCAAGAAGTCTGTCACCACTCCTACGTGAAGGCATACATGGAGGCAGTTGGTGGGCCACAGACTACTCTGCCTCCTCTCGACGAGCTCACTTTGGTGTCTGACTGGACCAGAATGCCCTTCCACAAAATAGGGTTTTTGAATGAATCAGCAGCATATGCGTCCCCGTTGGCATCTTTGATCCCGCAGGTTGCGTATTTCATGCAAAACCCTAGTGATTGTAAGGGCATTGACATGAGAGTCGGATTGCATCCGCAAAGCGTCAGCACTTTCTCTCGCTTGTTTCATCGTTAACGAGCAGTGAATACGGGCAAATCCGCAACCTCTGTGGCTAAGCTCGGATAGCGAAGGAAGCGAGAGAAATGCTGTTGAGATTAGATTATGTAAGAATTCGAGTTCGATTGTCCAATCAAATGTACCTAACACAAGACAACTTGCTGAAATTATTGTATTTGTTTGGCGTTTACTTTCTCTTTTTGTTGGTAGTGGGGTGTGAGCTTTTGTCTGAAGGTGTTCTGTGGAAAGATAAAATGTTATATTATATAATATGATTATGATTTGCCATATGAGTTGTTCCAAGATAGTGATTTATTCCACGATTTTTTGAAATGGTCGTTTGGTGTGGCACATTACAGCACTAATTAACTCATTAAAATAAGAAAATAAAATTATGGCGAGATGTACTTTTCTTTGGTTACATTGAACAAGTTTACTGTAATTATGGTAATTTGGTCCAATAATGCAACGTCACGTGAGAGAAATTTTATAAATAACATTGTATTATGGAATCGAAACATTAGGATATCAGTAAATTTGTTTCATATAAATTGCTCTTCAAACTATGTGCTTCTATAAAATTACAAGTGTCATTATCTCAAATCTTTCTTCATATAAAAATAAAAGGCTTTTTAACCAAAGTGATCTTGAGATTGACATAACTTCTCGCCTTGATCTTTGAGATTTAAAATCTATAAAAGTGGTCTATGAGATTATCCACCATCAATGATTTTGGCCATTCAATAAAAATCTCCGTTCAATTGAGGTTTTTTATTTTTTATTTTTTGTCAAATTAACCCCTCCCCTTAAATTGATGAATTCTTCAATTTAACGAAGATTTTTCACAAAAAGACCAAAATGGTTGACGGTAAACAAACTGAGAAACTATTTCAATTGATTTTAAATTTCAAAGACCAGTGAGGAGTTATGACTATCTCATGAACTATTTTAGCTAAAAACCTTAAAATAAAATAAAAAATGGTAAAATAATTAGAAAGTGTGCCAATTATGCAGAATTAATTAAACTAAAGGGAAGCAAAAGCATGTTCAGTCAAAGAGACATGGTTAACTAGTGCACCATAATACATTGTCGGGGCTTGAACGACACTGCCTCTTCATCATACAAATTAAACAAAGCCCTTATTACTCAGGCAACTAACTAGAGAGATTGGACACTAATTCTTGCTACTCAAATACAAAACTTGAGATCAATGTAGACAAATACGAACACAAATACGTAGAACCGCTATCTCAACGAGTATTCTACACGGGGATTGAACCTTCCTCCCGGTGATTTCGCCTATCTCCTTTCCTGCATCACCAAGTTCATGTTGAGTTTTCAAACAAGTAAGAGGAAAATATGATAATCGTAATGCAACAAATTCTTCAGTTCAATGTAGCGAATAAGCAATGATTTCTAAGTTTTCGGTAATCAATGAACTAGTATTTGTCCATACGATAGAAAGTTAATCGCATGTAGATGAGCAAGAAGCCTTCCTAATAGCTGTAGCCTGTACATATATGCGGCAGGTAAACAATGAGATATAATTTCATTCTGTCTCGTCCACCAGCCGGCCCATGAATTCTTCGGATCGGGCCAGCAGGCGGGGCGGACGGGGTGTTTGTGGATCTGACAGTAAAAGAGGCCGGTAGAAAAGCTCCTTACCTGTTTGATCATTGAGCTCACTAACTCATCCAACGAACCAGCATTGTGGGGGACATAAACCCCCTGTGGCTTTCGTTGGTCCATAAGGTACCCCTGCTGCTTCAACTTCAATGGTGCATCCATAGTTGATATTTCAACACCATCATAGTTCATGAGTAAAGGGTCAAGAAAATTTGGTTGTCCGATCAAATTGAACTCGCTGTTTCTTTGGAAGGCTGAACTTCTGGCGTCCAAATTCTGGTGGGAAGGAGCCACATTATCATTGACAGGCATCAAATTGTTCATTGAGCTACACATGACATCTGACTGGAACGGGGAATCCTGCTTTGGCTCATCCCACCCCAGAAACAGGTCATTGTTAATTGTTGGATCCGAATTATTGCTCATTGTAGATGCCGGGATCTGTGATCCTATTCTTGAATCCTGCAATTGACAGGGGATTGAATTAATAGAAGAAACAATAATCTGAGAGCTCCAAATTTGCGAGGACATTAACAGGCATATCATCCTTCAGGTTACTTACAAGGAGAGTAGGTTGTTTAAAAGAGTCGACCGCTGAGAAAGAATTTGACCGGAACGCAGATGGCTGAGCAGCGGTTGGCCAGTTGTCATTCAACCGTCCGTGATCCAGAAATGGGGCTGCCAGTACTGGTTTTAAGGACGGCATTGATACGGAAGACTGCATTACATGATTTCTTCCAACTTCGGAATCCCGAGTATGTCTTAACATTGTGTTGTCTGTAAGACCAAAAGGATCATTTGACCTATTCGTCACTTTTGTATCTGTAAAACCACTGGAATCGGGATAAATTGGTGCGCCATAGGTAGAACCCCTATTATGTTGTTGATCAAGTTCCAAGTGTGGCGGAAGCATATTTCCATTACGGTTTCCAGGAAACATGACTGGCTGATCATTAATGGCGTTGCTTGGATTCTGTGCATGACCCAATTGAAACATTCCGGATGAAGGAAGGCAATGCAGACCCACTCCAGCAGGAGTGTTCAATCTACCAATCATCCCACTAGGCGGGAAGGATCTGTATCCATTGTTATGAAACTGCGCAGGTCCAGTCAATGTATGGTAATTTCCAACTCCATTCATAGAAGCCGTTCGCAAATATGAAGAATCCGAAGTGCCTAAGGCTGCCACCATATTAGCTTGTTGGTTTGCCACACAGCTGATTCTTTTCAGGTAGAGCCTATATTTCTGCAACGAAAAATAATAATAAGCTTCGTAGAATAGAAGATAAAGATTGTAGGGAACTAAGGATATATCAGAATTTATACCTGGAGATGGCTTGCAACATTTTCTCTTGTAAGCTTTTCAACATTCATCAAATCTAGAATCTTTTTCGGTACAGCCTCTGCATACAAAACAAAAATTTAAATGAACAATTAGTATCTAACGGTTTCGTGTGAGAAACAAAAGTTAGGAAAAAGAAAAAATATGACAGATTCCAGATACATTTTTTTTTAAGGTCGAATCAAGTATTCACTATTAGGAGTCTCAAAGCTAGGCTATAAGTTCTGAATTCATATAAGGTTTCAAAGGTACGGGGATATTTTCAAATAGCCTTGAACAAGGATGAAGAACATACTGTCAATGCCCAACTGATTCACAGCGGCCACAAACTTGCGATGCAGATCCACAGACCAAACAACACGAGGTTTTTTCTGGGTTGAAGGATCGTCATTTTCATATTCATCCTCATCATGATCCTCATCCTCGCCATCATTCTGATCCTTACGTTTCTTATTGAGCTTTGCATTCTGATCTGAATTTCCTGTGCCTACTGACCCCACTCCTCCTTCGCCACATCCAGCAGACTTGTCTTGATTGCCAGAGTTCTGGTCCTTTGAATCAACCTTCTTTCTCCTTATCACGTGTTGCCAGATGTTCTTCAGCTGCTCAATTCGAACGGGTTTTAGGAGGTAATCGCAGGCTCCATGGGTGATTCCCTTCATCACAAGCTTGTGATCCCCATTTACAGACAACACTAAGAACATGTTTACATTCATAATTAGTAGTGAATCCTAACTTAAAAACAAAAGCTGCAGATCTAAGATACTTCAAAATTTCAGAATCTAAACGCAACAAATATATGAGATTTGCGCAGTGCAAGTTGGCTTTACTTATAACAGGGAGATCCATCTCAAGCCCGACAAGCTCAAGCAGCTTGAATCCATCCATGTCTGGCATATGCACGTCACTGATAACCAGATCAAACTTATCCTTGTTCTCTCTCAACAACTCCAATGCAGTGATTGCCTGACTCGTCGTCGTAACTGCAAAATCCATCAAATGATACTATAAACACACCAATTTTCTACAGGAAGAAAGTCAAACCTTCAGATGCTAAGGTAGACCAACCAAAATATACCAATCTATCATAATCCAACCAAACCTAACAAAAACTATGACTGTATCTATAGACAATGAAACAGAGAATTCAAATTCAACCTAATTGATTTGGGAATCCATTTGCTCTTCAATATCTAAGCGATATTCTCATTTCTAACTTCAAGCAACAATACATTATTTTTTTCCTCCTAATTTTAGAAAAGAGAATCAACATTTTAGACGCAAATTATTATAACAAGAAATCACAGAATTAGAGAGAAAAATATAAAATTGACTGACAAAATCTAGTCAGCAGATATATATCTAAGAACACAATTGAAATTTAGTAACAAAAATCACAAAATCTAAATAAAAACACCATTTTATCCCAGTAAAGAAAATAGCTTGATAACAAAGCAAAAATAAATCAGAAGATTCTTGATGGAAAACCCAATCGACAAACCATGATATTGGCATCGACGGAGCAAAGCCTCTAAGAGCTTGAGGCAAATGGGATCATCGTCCACGGCAAGCACACGCATCCCAATGGGAAACTGGTCTCTGGGTTCGTCGAGTACCCGCTCAACGGTCATGTTTTCAAGCAGAGAACTTCACAAAAACCCCAAGCAACAAAATTTGGAGGAGAGAGAAAAGTTTGAATCTTGGAGCCTTTTACTACTGGTTTTGACAAACCCAGCAAAACCCAGAACTTAAAAAACCACAAAGATGCAGAGAAAATGATTTGATGAGATGAGTGATTAAAGAGAGAGAGAGAGAGAGAGAGAGAGAGAGAGAGAGAGAGAGAGAGTGAGAGAAACGGAATCTGAAGTTATCTGTATGGACTGAGAAATTAGAGTCCTCTCCTCTGTTGGCTTTCCTGAAATGGACCCTGTTTTTCCTGGTTTTTGGGTTCAGCAGAATCTCAGTATTTGATATCAGAATTTAATTTTGATTTGAGTTTTTTTTTTCTTTTCCTTCTATTGATATTATTGTGTTTTGACTTTTTTTTTAGAAGGAATTAGAGTTTTTGTCTACGAGAAAATAATAACAAATTAGAAATTTTCCAAAAATGGAACATAAGAATTCGCATTTAAGCACATATGGAAAAAAGAGAGAACCTTATCCTACCAAGTTGGTTTTTTTTATTTGCAATTGAAAGATTTAACTGCAGATTCTGAAATGATTTAAGAGAACTTTAACGAAAAACTTCCGGGACTGTTTACTTTAACGAAAAATCATAATGTATGGACTGAGAAATTAGAGTCCTCTCCTCTGTTGGCTTT